ATTCCTGATTTTCCCCATTTTAAAGTACAGGTCTACTTAACTGAAAGGTGATTTCTAGCTGTTTTGACAAATACATTAACAGAATAAAATAAGAAAACTCCATATTCTATAGTACTAAAGCACTTACATTTCTTTTTATGTTTCCTGTGATTCTGTATAAATGAATATACTGTAGAAGCCACTTAGGCAGTTAGGATGGAGGTCAAAAGCCTAGCTTCTATGTATAATTTAACCCTGGACATCTGGGCTGAAATGAAAATTTACATTATATACCTAAGATTTTCTTTTTTCATTTATTTGTAAAGGGAGAGGCATGGGATAATGTAATTTTTAATTTGTAAATTTAAATCAAGACCTTTTACCTTTAACAATCTTTAAAAAGGTACAGTATATTCCAGTAGATCTTGTCTTCTTTGAAAAAATCCTGTCTCTCCCCCAAATAATTCATAACTAACACTTAATGTGATTAAGTAAACCAGGCATTCTTACATTTGTTTTGCAGAAATTCCAAATTAAACGTAAACTAATTTGTGATCATTAATTTGGACTGTTAATGACATTTTCATCATGACTTCATGTACAGTAAGAGCAAATTGTGTTTCTATTTCCAGAGCTCAGGCTATTGTCTTTACATGTGAGATGGAAAACAAAAATGTGCTACAACCAACAGTGAAGCAGCACTTTAGTAATACAGTTTTTGGGCACAATTTCAGTTGAGTGAATTTGGCTAAAACAAATCATTGGCTGCTAGGGTCTGGATGCTGTGATTTCTGTAAATAAATTACCATGACCATCTGGGGAAAAGGTGTTCACTGGAAAATGATAGCTATGAATAAATGTTACTGTAAATTACAATATACTGAATACACAGTGAAAATCTGACAACTTAAATTGTCCCCATTATTGAAGGGACCTGTACACCCCAGGTCATTCCTACTGTAGGTCTTTACTCTACCCTGTCAAGAGTGGCCCTGATACCTTTCTCTTGGGGTTGAAATTAATTTGATCGATGGCAAGACAATATACAATACCAGTCAATCTGAGACTGAAACGTTGATGTTATACTAGCATAATAACACTAACTGTATAAGGTTTCTGCAACTGTAAAGCATTTCCATATTCATATGCCATACCCCCAAAACTGACTAGTGTGACAGAAACATGTTTTGTGTGGCCAAAGGGTATTTTCGAATTCTTTTAAATCATTTAGGAACCATAAAATTGTTTTCTTCTTGCAGAAACAAGATATTGTGTAATATAGAAAGCGCATGACAGCGTGTGCGTTAGGATAAAGTCACTTCTGAGGTCTGGGGTTTTGGACACAGCTGGCATGTGGCCTAATGCCCAACCAACCCAGATGCAACATTATCCCAGCCCAACTCATCCTGTCATGCATTATTCAATTATTAATGTATGTTTTTTTCCCAGAATCCCTGCATTTCCTCTGTCTACATTTGTTAATATTTGCCAGTATCCATCTATCTGTGTAGCATGCCAGATTCACTTGTCTTTATTATTCAGATCAGTATCCCTGCATCGGTGCTGTGTGATGAAAGTGTTTAAGATATCAAAGGCTGAAGGCAGTTTGTTTTAATTAAGTGTACAAGTCCAAATGTTGCCTCTGCTTTTCAATGCAAGCATTGTGTCTAAGTTACAGGACTCCAGTAATAATAATGTACAGTAAATCTAACTAAAGCTGTGCCATGGCTCCTAGCAGAGTAACTGGTCAAGGCTTTAGAATGAAGTCTCAGCTTTCACACAGACAGATGCAGCGAGCAATCTTTTGACAAGACCAATATCACTAACAAGGACAACATACCAAACAGACATGAGCACCAGAAAAATAAGTATTTTCCTATACAGTATGTACCAAAATTAAGTTCCAACAAGTAGAAATAAAAATGGTCATTTAACTATTGAAACTAAAATGTAGACAATAAGCTTTAGGATACAAGCACAATTTATGGCCATATATTTTTATTCTAAGGAGAGTTTTGCATATTTATCTAAAATCATTTTGTTGCAAAGAAACAACTGCAAATTTAAATACATTTTAGGTTGATAATATTATCTGAACCTATTGGCTTAAGACTGGGCATTTCATGTTTCTTATAGGATTTCAATTAAAAACAGCATTTGTTTTGGGATACAGGATGTGTTCTGCTCAAAAGGTAGCCAGTTAGAAATCTGATTTTAAAAAGTCATCATTCAGCAAGACACGTTTTTAAAATCATTACTGTCAACAGGCTGTATATTTTTGAATGGGGTCATTACACAACTGCAGTTTTTGCTTTTTTCCATAAACAAATTTGGAGCCAGTACACTAAAACACAACAACAGGCTAATCGAGTTAGAGCTGTACGGAAATGGCTGGCAGAAATCCATTTACATCTAAAAGGCAATGGAAAGAGGCAGCTCATACATTATGCATGGGCAAGCGCAGAATTTAGGGGACAAAGTCTTTTTAAAAATTAAGCAAAAGCCTCTGGCACAGAATGACACAAAAAAGGGCTGTTTTTTTCCCTGTTTTCCTTGCTGCCAGAATAAGATGAAAGTACCAGGACGATTTTAATGAATCACACTTGTACTTTTGTCTGGAAAAAAGGCACAGCAGGGGGTTGGGGGGAACAGTAAAATGAAATCAGTGGCCAGTACTGGTGTCACGCGCCTACTGAGGATGACAGCCACTCCGGGCTTCTCAAAACACAGATAGCAGGACACATTCATCAGAGTCCCATACCAGATTCGTACTTGATTATCTGCTGATCTATCACCACACTCATTGCCTTAGATGTAATGGTAACCAGTCCCATTACACAGCCCAGCAATAAGAATTAAGTTCAGTCTCCCATGTAATCTCTCCATGTTTTTTAAACAACATTGTAAGAGAGTCTTAAAAATGCAAGTTTAGAGGTGACAGGAGCTTTTTTTCCATTTTGTTTGGTGATTGTTATATTAGCACCAGCTACTGGAACATCACAATGTGTAATACTCGGTGCTGGCTGATGGCTGACATTGTATGTGCTGATCAAAGCTGAAGAATAATTACAGGAAAAAAATCATGGGATGTTTAACTTTAAATATATAGAATGCCTTCTCGAAATACATTTTTCTGTGTGTAAATGACCTGCTCACAGCTTTCTAAAGATCAGTGATAGGATCAGACATTTCTGGATACCAGTTCTAATCAGGTTATTTCAATTCTTATAAGCAAAGCCTTGAATCAACAGTTAAAAGTGCAAATATTTTATTGGCATGTGGTCTTCTGGAAGAGGTTAAAATGTTGTTATATGACTGCCACATAAACCCATTAGAGCTCTTCAGCAGCTCTGTAACTACTGTATGTAGTTTGTGTCACACCCCAGCTGGGAGCGACTCGCAGTCTGCGATTGCCACAGACAACCACAGCATTCACATGAACGCTTCTCCATCAGCTCAGCTGGTGAGGATGAGATCAGGGTGTTTGTCCATCAGGCCGGCTGTGTACCAATCACGCAGGCAATCATCCAATTAATTACACTATTTAAGGCTTGGTTCGCCATACGACTGGTTCTCTGACATTCTTGAGCTTGTCAGCTTGTCTCTACTTCTCTCTTTACCCAAAGTTTTGGCTCTAATTATGTGCAGTATCAGTCCAGCCAGTCCTACGGCACCAATTCTGAACTGCCTCATTCCTAACGGATTCGGCATCACTCAGACCAGCCAAATCTTCAGCACATCCTCCGGATTGCCTTCCTCCAGCTGGTTTTTTGGCTCTCATTTGGGACAGACCTGCTAATACGGGGCGGTGCAGTGGCTCTGTGGCTAAGGTTTTGCACCTGTGGCTGGAAGGTTGGTGGTTGGTATCCTGCGGCTGAGAGAGAAACCCTACTCCATTGGGCCCCTGAGCAAGGTCCTTAACCCAAACTGCTCAAGTGGTGCTGTATAAATGGCTGACCCTGCGCTCTCACCCCAAGCTTCTCACCCTGTCTGTTTGCCTGTGTGTCTTATGGAAAGCAAGTTGAGGTATGCGAATAGACAAATTCCTAATACAAGAAATTGTATATGGCCAATAAAGTGATCTTAAAAAATACAGTCCTGCCCACCTGTCTGCTTTTTCCCCTTTTGACTCCTTTCAGTGTACTCTGCTAAAACTCGAAGCCCAGTGCTTGGATCCCTTTCTGTCATCCCACCACAGCACTGCAGAGAAATATATTTATCATTTTCTTATGACAAATAACTTCAGACAAATATCACCTTAAGAACTCCAGACCTACCTTTACCACAGGTATTATAGTCAATAATACATGTCTAGCCTTCTTAATATTTATTTCACTTTTATAAGTTTCTGATTTCTTTAATTCCATGCAAGAAATACTGTATGTACTGTACCACCCTCTGTAAGGAAAGAGGAGCATACAAAATTTATAGGTTTCTTTTAGCAAAAAAGGAATTAAATGACTTCAGTTTGGGAGGTCATTTCTATACTTGGAGATATTTATTTTATTTCTTTTCCAATTTCTGCCCTTTCATTTTTTTAATCATTTATTTTCCACAGCATAATGCCAAGAGTTGTTCCATTTCAAACCCACAGTATATGATTTCCATCATGCACAACTGTGAATCAATTAAAACAGGCACCATTAAAATAACAACCAAGATTAATGCTGATGCCTTTTTTTTCTTTTTTAGTACGAATACAAATTTATTACATCGTCTTTGTTTACAAATTTTAATCAGTAGGAAGGCCACAGTATATTACAGACTATATTGTATCCAGTCTTCAGTAGTTAGCTACTGCAATTTTGTCATTGTTGCAGTTTACCAACAGTAACTACAGTACGTACCACTGACTGTAGGAAGAAGAAATTGTTCTCTTTCTCCCAAATTAAATTTAATAAAGAAATATACCTGTACATCAAAGTCTACAAAAACAGAAATGGTATCAAAAGTTGATTTTATGCTCACTTAAAATTAAAATAATAATTTGTTTTTAGCATTTTGTTATTAAAAGACAACAATTATCAAAAAAGAGATACATTTATTTTTCATATAAAAATTTCCAGGAAAATCCATACCCTTAGGGATATCATGTAAGTAATTAACTCATAGAACACACACATTGAACCTTTAAAACATTAATGCAGTCTTTCAGTCTTTAACATCATACTAAAAGCTCCACACGACCTCCAAAACTAGGCACTTGCAGTTTTTTTATTTAGCTCTGGAAAAAAGTGAAGCCAATATTCATAAAAAAGGTTTAAAACATATAGACAGGTGCTGTTTCTTCCACCCATCCTGGAAATCCATGCACGCACCAGTGGAGCAGTGAAAGCTGATAAAAACAGACGTGTACTTTGCATGACACCAGAAAACAAGGCTCCTAAGTGCTTTTCATTTCCTTAGGAAGCGGTAGTACATTCAGCACTTGGAGAGCTTTTTCCGCAAGCTATTAACCTAGGTCGTTCTCAGCCTTATTTTGTGCTCTACTTCTCACTGATATGTTTTGAGGACAAGGCAAAGCTAAGCTTCAGATGCTGAAGTTCTATTTAGCCTCCTCCTTCTTCTGCAAAGATGACCTGGACTGCGCCTTCATGCTCTTGCTCCTGTGTGGGCTTTTTCCTCTTTTGTGATTGAATGGCCTCTGAAGCGGCTGGGACTGCTGAGAGTCGCCACACTCAGGAGTTGCCAAGTCAACGGGTGAGGCCTTTTTGAGTGTGTTCAGTTTTGGTTGCTCTAGAGCAACAGAAGGTGGCTTCAGAGCAGGTGCTGCACGTTCTTCATCTTCTTTATTCTTGCTCTGGCTGCCCCTTTCCAGCCATTCCGAACTCATAGCTTCAGCTGTTTCGGTGTTTTGGCTGGGGCCCGCATTCTTCTCTTTGCGCTCCTTCTTGAAGGATTGCAGGCTCTCTAAAGCTTGTGTATATTCTGTCTTCAATATGCTTAGTTCACTGGACGCTCTGTCTCTTTGCTCTCCACAGTCCTTAAGCAGCTGTTCCACAGAATGGAAGAACTCTTTCCCATACCTAGAGAGGGCCTCGTCTCCTACAAAAGGGAAAGGAATGGGTAAGCAAAATATATAAATAAGAGGTGCACTATTGTGCTATGAACCATGTGTGAGAGATCCCAAAATTCAATAAATTTAAATAGCCTGTATCAGTCTTGTGTAGATATTTGGATTTCTGCTAATACTACTGGTATATTTTTTTAACATTTGATTGCTCAGTAACATAAAGAAGCAGAAGATAAATGTTTCTAATAGTGTGGCCAATCTAGAGGTGTAATGCCTGTGAACAAATTGATAAATAGGAAAATCATAAAATACCCCAAGGTCATGCAGTGAGCCTATGGATATAACTTGAATTCAAGCACTAAAACAAGGACTTTAGCATGTGAATGAGCAGTGTCAACAAACTGCCTTTCAGACATCACCATGCACAATTCAATTACAGAGCAGTTACTTTGCCTTAGCAAGATGCTTAATTTTTAATACCCATTGAACTGCAAATTGGCATTTTGGAAACAGCACTCACAGTTGTGTCGTAAATGACAACCACAACAGCCTGTTTACATTGAAGAATGCGCTGCCTGGAAGATTTATGATCACTCATTTTGTGTTTAAAAGGAGGGAGTGTGAATGTAAAATAAAGATAAATCAGAGCTGCTTTTCCATGTGGCTTGGAATGTATCTGGAATGGTGTAAATCTTCAGTTTTTTTTAATAATCACCTGGCTCTCCTTGGGGAACCTTCCCCACACACTGGCTGCCCAAAGGAAGCTTCTTTCTATAAAGCCCTGAGGCCAGCTGACCTTGAGAAGTCCTGGGGCTAATTCCAAAAAGCATGAAGTGGCAGGTGCTTGCATGTCGGGTGTCTTAGGTGTTATTGAGCAGGTGTGAACATTTCAAAGGGACAGACTTTGAGCGGCAGATAGGCAGGTAGAGAGACTGACAGATTGACATGGAAAGATATTCATGATTGCAGGAGAAGAAAGAAGAACAAACAGATAACAGCAGCGGTAGGTGCGCACACACCGCTCCAGGCCTGATTGATGTGCAGATCACTAAAAAGATACACCGGCACAATGACGGAGAAAAACACAGAGGGAGAAGCACTCCAGCAGATACTGTCTGAAAACAAAACAAGCTGCATTTCCTCCACCATCCCTTGAAGGTTACAGGGGAGATATACTTGAGCTGAGCTAGGCAAGATATAGAAAGCTTACTGAGAGGCTTAAGGAAGACTAGAGTGTCACAGTGACAGATTTCAAGTAGATATTGTGTGTTCAGAATACAAAGTACAGTTACCTAAATATGAAATGAGAATAAATTCTCTTTAACTGACAGTTTTATCACGACGTTTTAAACTATGTGCAATAGTAATACGGTGATTGTATATTAAAATGCAGATTCGTGGAAAATAAGGACAAAGACAGAATAACGAGTCCTATAAGTTGGACATAAAGATGGGCTAAAATTCCTAGAAATTAAGAGTATGCAAAAGGTTCAAATACAAAGATACAATAAAACTCAAAATAATTCATCAGGCTCTGATATTATGTTAGAACACAATACAGTTCTAACAGAGAATCAATCTTTTCTTGGGAACATTTATGATGATCAAAATGTGTTAGAATTTACCAAATTTGAAGAAAGCAGCCATTCCTGAGGCTTCAGTTAATTTATTCATAAGAGCTACAGTGGGCAGCCACAACATAAGTTTTCACTCAGCCTTGCCAATGCAGCCTCAATGCTGCCTAGACAAGACCACACACAGAGGTAGAGAAAGCCAGGCCACCGTGGTAAAACTGTGAGCAGAAAATACTGAATGATACCAGTTAGTTTTGATCCCTTTACCACATTAAATTATGTACGACAGTGCAGTGCAGTTACTACAATTCCAGAATTAAAGGACATTACAGCATCTTAAACACAGGGTTATCCACATGATAACCTACTGTTTAAATGTACCCATATTGGAATGGACTGCCACTAATTCACTGACAGGTTTCTTTGGATCATTACGATAAAACTAGCTGGGATAGTGAAATGAACAGAACAGCTATCTGAATGCCGACATGCGCTTAAAGATGTAAAGAGAAAGTGCACAAATCATATGTTGACTTAAAACATATGTTTTATATATATGAAAATATAACTAAGCTACAGAGCTTGGGAACACTAGGAATATCTAAGAAGCATCCTTGGGTGCAAAGATTCAAGAGGAACAAACAAAGGACATACAGTATACTGTACAAACATACAATACAATGTGAGTTATTAATATATTAAGAATTAGAAGTTCATTTTATATAAAAATGAACTGAAATTGGGAATAAAATGAATCAACACAAGAAAATTAGACTTTATTTTCCTTTAAAAGGAAGTAATTCTAAAAATTCTGGTGTTGATACAACACAGGTGGCAAGCACTAGTAGATCACTTCACAGAAAAGATAATTCCATGTGTGACTTGGCATTTGGATTAAAAAAAAGAATGGCAACGAAGTGGTTGTAGAAGATGAAAACAAAGAAGCAGGAGATAATCACTGCGTCATGTTCTGATGCCTCTGCCTAAAAGTGAAGTTTTTCACATCTATCAGACATAGAAGTGCCATTTCTAACCTTGTCTGCCAGCTCTTCTGAGTATTCAATCAAACTGTCAAAAACTAGGGCTGCTTCATTATGTATCCACGCTCTTTTTATTTGACATGCATAGTTGAATGCTATTGCAGGTTGCTGGCTTGTAGTACAATTTCTTTGTCAAATTTTATTTAGAACAGGTTTGTAATCTTTTTTTAGAAACAATAAAAAATATACAATACCTCGATGGTTTAAGTCCATATGTGAACGAGAAGGTGGGATGATCAGTGAGTGCTTTGATCCCACTACCTGGCGACTCCTTCATATCCTGATCAGCAAACACTGCCCAGTTTGTGACTCTGGGAGGTCTGGGCACAGTTCCACTAGTACACAGCTGGGATCACATTAGCCCAGCTCCTTACACTGCTCAAAGTATTTATGTTTTTACAGGCCATGCAAAAAAAAGTTATTTTTCTTATAAATCTTAGCACAGCAATTTTTTGTTCAATATTTTTAGCAGCTTAGGGTCTGAAGTAGGATGCTATGGTTAATCAAGACCAGCAAAGTTTGTCCACATGAGTATAAAGGAAAATATTTAACTCCCTAAATATCCCCAGTTAAGATCATGGGACATACAGGTTAATACTTTACTGTACTGTAAGATAAAAATATGCAGTTTCAGTTTCCAAAAATAGCAACTTAAAATACGTGTAAGAAACTAAATGAAAAAGTTAAAGAATTTGACGTCTGTATTTAACAATGTACTACATAAGCTATATTTTCTTTTCAAATATTTATTGTGTTAAATATTTAACACATGCAAATGTATGTAAATATATGGCATATAATTGTAAAATTAAGACCTTTATTGTAAATTAAATTCCTTAATTAGGAAGCTTAAGAAGTTTCCATAACCTTCGTTTATGTGCTTTTGTGTTCATTTTAAAGCAGCATAGAACGGTTAAGCCAGCATTATATGCAAATACTGTACAAGGAACAACTACTGGAGCATAAACTATATACCAAATCTGCTTTACATTAACAGGGCTCAGGTGCTTGAAGGGAAAAAGACTTGTGCTTTGCTTCAATTACCTTCATTCTTTGAAGGCTTCAGTGCTTCCACTGCTTCTTGGATCTGCTCAGAGTTGGTTTTAAAGGCTGTGAGAAAGTCTCGCAGAGCTGCCTCTGAAGCGGTGCTTTTCAAAACAGTATAACACGAAAGTACATCTGTAAGGAAGGAAAGTTGCTACAGTACATATCACAGATCTGGCACTGATGAACAATCCTATAGCTCGACAGGGACTTTCCTTTAAATGATCATAATGACGTATTTTTGAATTGGGAGATTTTGCAGTCAGGAGTCTGTAATATACCATTATTTTCATATTGATGTAGGGAAAAAAAAGGCAAAATTACATTTTTCAGGAAGTTGTTATTTGAGAAATAAGTTGTTAGAAGAAGTTTCTGGGAGTTGTTACAGTACTCGACCATTTTAGTCACTGGCTGAGAAATCATAAGCAATGTGACAATGGTATTTGGTATTTGATCAAGTTTTTTCAAAAAGTGTCTGCCTATGCTCACAAATGATTCACGCTCATTCTGACCTCGAAGATCAGCTGTCTTACGAATTGTATTGTCAACAGCAGGTTCTTCCATGAAATGGCATTTAACTGACTGATGAAAAAATATACCAAACTGCATAAGGAGGTGCTGTACATATAAAAAGGTTAAATCAACTGAACAACTCTGTGATAGCACTTGTTCATACCCCCCTACCTGAGGCATGGGAAAAACATACAAATAATCATTATATTTTTAACTATAAACTATAGAAAACAATCCAAAATTATTTAACTAGTACAAAAACATCTGTTTACAAAATAATCCAAATTTCTTTCCAATTTTGCATGTGATTAGTCTGGACCTGCCACAGATATTCACCTGACTTGGCTTTTAAAGGGCCAAACTTCATAGATGTTGTGTATTAGGTACTGCTTTGATTGGTGGCTGTGCCAAGATAAAGGACAGACATCTTGAAGGGGGTTATATAGTTGGCACTCATGCTCCCAGGGTTTAAATACCGTAATCAACAAGACCGATTAACCTCATCACACTACAGTGAAATTGTCTGGCAGGTGCCGAGTAAGACTAGATGAAAATGGCTCCAGCTAAACACCAGGGCTTTTTGGCACAATAAGTGCTTTTCTTTATTGTATAATACTGGATAGGTAAAATCACAGAGAATTATCCTTCTTTCAATCTCTTAATTACACCTGGCTGCATTGGTGAAATGATTTGTTTAACCTATTTATAACACGAACTGTATTTTTCTTGGGGTTTATGTAAATCTCAAAGACTTCTCAAAAAATGTAACTTGTACCAGCAAACCATCCTTTGCTAAGTGATTTTATGGAAAGTGTAATTTTATCTACTGTAGATGCATAGAAGACATGTTCTGATCCAATTCATGTTTTAAGTTAGATTAAGTATCTCTATTCTTGGAAAATGAAGAAGACTATCTGCATGGGACAGGGCATGGATGTTTCATGGGCTAACTGAAAGGACCTTCTATTACAAAACTTTGTATTTCCTAATTCTTAATAAGAGTTGAGACAGACAACTAAAATATATATAGAAGAGAATATATTAGCTCTTCAGACAAGAACATAAATATACTGTATACAGCACTCCTGGGGAAAAAACATGGTCCTAACATCAAATATTTCCATGAAGGCAAAGGACAATTATCAATCAATTTCTAGGAGCTAGGAGCAATTTAAACACAAGAGTACATTGGCTCTGTCTTCTACATACCACAGCGACCTTTTCTAACCTAAAATCCAACCAGGTCGCAGTGCTGGCAGACCACAATGTAAGCCTGTCACTCAATCATCACAATAGAGGTAAAATTCAGGGCTTCGTTGTCATTCTGTATGCCAATAGCAGGATAAAAAAGATACAGTATGCATTCTAAATCCATCACACTTTTTAACACCTAAGTGGATGAGCAGTGGAGGTTAAACTCCTGCAATATTATAATTTAAAAAGCTAACATTTATCAAAATTAGTAAACTACAACCAGCTGTCCATTTTCTAACTGCTTCTTCCAATTAGACTTTCAACCATTTGGTCTTCATTGCAGCATTTGTGGAGTATGAAATTGGGTTGTATTCAGTTTTAAACAGCAACAAATCTGTGATTTTTTGTGGTTACATTTGCCAGGATAAACAAAGTGTTTCAGAAAGGCATTTGCAGATTTCTCTGTGTAATTTTATAAACAATGCTCATCTTGCATTACATTTATGGCAATATGCATAAATGCTGACTCAGTCTTAGCATAAAATGAGTAAAAAGGTAAATTCACAATACCTTGCAAAGGAGCACACAAACTCTCAGCAACATTGTCCTGAAAAGCTCTGTAGGCCTGTCTAATCCCCTGGATCAAAGATTCAGTGTATTTGACTTGAAGGTTGTATAAGCTCCTATGAAACTCCAGCTCTGCCTGCAATGCTTCCACCTAATTCACAAAGGAAAACAAACTGAATATCGTGTTTGTTCAACTAACCAAACACGTTTTTTGTGTGCAGTCTGAAGCTTTAATGTTACTAATTTAAGTACACATACAAATACACAACTAATGGGCATTTCATTTCAGCATTTTTGAAAATATTAATACAATACTACACAAAGGGTTACAAAAACAGGCTCAATAACTAAGAAAAAGTAGAAAAAGAGTATGGCTGTTACTTCAGGGTTACAGAACAATGGTTTGAGGGTACTGCTTGTTGTATACTTCTCATACATTAAAAAATACAAAGTAAATCCAGTACTCTTCATAATGTGATAAAAAAATCCCTCAGCTGTAAAGCAAGAACACATGCAGTAACTTTCATAGAAGGGTAAGTACAGTTTGTTTAGTTTAGATAGTATTAAGATACTTATAAGGATGCTGAAGTGAAATCACACTCTATGAAACTGATTCATATGGGATTATTATCTTTTTTAAGTCTACAATCTGTTATCCTTAAAAATGCATTAATAGACCATAACTCATATTCATGAGCAGAATATGCGTGACACACCAACTGAAGTGTTATGCATTAATCAGTGCCCTTAGGTAGAGAGGTCTTTGTTTATTATTAATGATTGATATTTTCCCCTTCATAGAATGCTAATGCATGGCTCTTACCTGAAATCACTCTTTTGATGACCTCTGAGAGGAGAATAATAGAAAGGCACTCAGCCCTTCGTGTCAAACAAAAATATAAAATAAATTGCCACCTTAGCTTTCAGTGTTAATAACCCCTTATTATAGTCATCTGTGAAATTTAGGTAGAGTAAGAAATGTGGAACAAATTTGATTCATTATTTTCCTAAATTGAAAGTAACAAAAAAACACACAAAACGTTCTAGTTACACATAGCTTTCACAATTATTATAATGCCTTACTTATCAACATCTACTAAAGTACTCAGCAGATTCATGTATGTCATAAATGTGTCATCTCACGTGTTAACTATACTGTAACTACTCAACATAAATTGTGTTATAAACAGGTCCCTGTGAAATTTAGAAGTAAACCTTAATGTTCTTCTGCTCATGTATAAAACATTTAAAGGTCTGGCTCCAGAGTATTTTAAGGGCTTATTGAGCCTCCTCATCTACAGGACCAGGTTTTAAGAACACATTGACCAATTCCATTAAACGTTCTACAACTTTGACAGGTTAAAATATAGCGTTTATTGTAAGATATAGCTTTACTCTTGATTTTACTGGATCTATTTATGATGCACTTTATTTTTCTTCTGTAATAAGCCAATATCCTGGCTTCTATTATGAAATAGCTGGAGATCACTTAGCTACTAAATGTGCTAGACTGCCTGAATGGGCGTCTCTCATTTGTAATCATTGTCATATTCTTATGACATATCATATGCTTATGACTTTGACTGTTCCATTAAATCACCTCATTAGTGATAGGGGTGAGTAGGCATAGGTAATGTGGTAATTTAACATGTTGAAAATCACTCTTGGCGATAAGAAAGAAAATCTGGGAAAAAAATAATATGCCCCAATGTATCAAGAATACAATGGCTCTGTATCATCTGAATGTTGGAGGCTGGACTTCTGGGGTATTCACAGTCAGCAATTCCTAAACTGCCAAGATGTTACAGCCAAACTCAGTCTGTTAATGACAGGTCATGATCTTGGAGACCTTGAGTCATGGACTGACAATTAGTGTCTCATTGCTGTACAACTCAACTTGTAGTGATTGTTGTCATCCTGAGTGTACTATGCTGCAGTAATCAAGTCCTGGGATGTCACTTCTTGTCCGTCATTGGGGCTCATCTTGACATCACAACATTCTAGCAGGACAAGATGTATCATATTGCAACAGCCTTCATGCAAGATGATAATGTAACCATTACTGTATGATACTATATGGATGCCCTACTAGTCAGACTTGAGCCTCTTTGAGAGGGACAAGCTGGTACCAATGTGTGGCATCTGAGGCTCAGAGATCAGTCAACAGGCACGTGTCTCCCCAGACTCTACAAGAGGAATGGACCAGAAGCCCTCAAGACAACATCTGCAACTTGGTGCAATAATGCACAGCAGATGTACAGATTGTATTGCTGCCAGTGGCGGCCACACATGCTACAGGTCTGGGACTTTTACAGAATACCCCCTGTTGATCAACCCTGTTACTGACAAATGCTATTCAGCAAGATTCATTTTTGCGTGTCATGTCTGTTTTATAAAATGTCTGTGCACCTGCTGCAAAACAAATATTTTGTCTTTTTCCTAATAATAGCTTTGTTAATTTGTTGCAGTAAGAAATTATATTTCTTTTAATGCCCAATACACATAACTATTTTGACAGTTTTTTTCTAGGTTTGGGTGGTCTAGGAGTTTAAAGTGAAAATGAGAAAATTGCTCAGATTGAAGATGGAAGAAATGAAGAAATATTTAGTAGACAGATTGTTAACTTACATTTCTGGTTCCTGCAGTGGATATTAATTTTCAGAAGGAGATATTAACTGCTAATTCTTAACTGGATATGGATATTCCTAGAATGCATTACAAAGCAAATATGATCCATAGAATTAAATAAATCTGTGAAAGAATACTACTACCGAAATGACATTTGTACAGCCCTGTATGTGTAACCTAAGAGTAAAATTAAAATGTATAGAGTATTTAGAAATGTGCCTCATTTTTAAGCACTTCACTAAAGTTAAAAGAACAATGTAGGCCTACTGTAATTTAACATAAAGCCGGACACATCCTGCTCAAAATCAGGAGTACTCTATCTGCATGATTGAGAGTTCTTACCCTCCCCTACTAATTTGGCCCACCTGCTGCACAGCCATCAGTCGGGAGTAATTTGCAGCCTTCACCAGGGCCTCTGCGGCTCGACGTGCCCGCTGCTGAGGGGCTCCTTTTGGGAAGGCCGGCAGCACTGAAAGCACGTTCTCCGCAGTCAGCCCCTGGCTCACCCGCTGCTCCCTTCTCGCCTGTAAAACATCGATACAGTCACGCTGTGCACATCCTTAATTAATAGCACCCTGACATTCACTTTAAAAGCTGAAAAAACACCACGCAGGCCCTCACACAAACAGCCGCATGTGGGGAACATTTCCCGACGTGGAAAGCTGTAATGATTGAAAAAAAGGTTTTATACTTCCACACTTAAAGTGGGGCACTTCGCAGCTGAGGTCATTGTTTTATTTCAGTGGGTTTGTTGCAGCGCAAAGCTATTTTTACTGCTGACATTTCACATGATGCCACTGGGCAGTTGCTACACAGGCAGTGGTCATAGAAGCTTTGTCACGTCACACATCCACACCCTTTCTTGAATCTGTCTTGGAAGGACCACCTTGTAAGAGGCTGACGTGACTCATTTTCACTGCATTTGCAAACCCTGAAGCTGCTTTCAAAGTTAAGAACAGGCCCAAAGCAAGCGTCATTGTGGTTGCTGAGGTCTACACCAGGACTAGGCTTGGACTATCTGAACTGATTTTACACTGGTCCGTGAAAGAATTTGATCTATTTTTTTCATATGCAGTGTCTCACATGGAAAAAATAACTCAGATCCCTTTGATTTTCTTCAAAAATATAAGCTTTCTCATTTTGTGCATATATATCCTGTTTAGCAACAGAAAATGCTAATACCTATAACAAAACTATAAAGATTTTCATCAGTTATATCACTTCATTGTTTTGAAGGCAACATTTATATATATCTAGTAAAATTCTGAATTGAACGGGCTTTTTATCTTTAAAGGAAAACAAGCACAATGCATACAGAAAGAAGATGAATTTGACTTCCAGGCAAGATAAGGTTAGTATAAATCATAGTTCAATGATCCTTAGTACACATCAGAGTGGCATACTGTATGTGTGGATCATGAAAAGAGACTAAAAAGTAAGTTAAAACTTAAATAATTATAAATGGGACATTATCATGATGTAGTGTTTCACTAAAGCCAGAATATTAATAGTCAAATGGATTATAACACTTAACCAGATTGCTAATTAAACATCTTATAACCAGGGACATAACCATTCAAAGATACATCAGTCTCTGTGTGTTCTGCACTTCCATCGCTTTAAAAAAATATGCAAAAAATAGCAATTCTGTCGTACTTGTAAGAGAATTACAACAGAATTGTCCATGGCATACAACCACTCTCAAACCAGTGGGATTGTCATTAAAGAGCAGTTGTGAGTTACAGGATGATACTGAAAAATTGTCTAAAACAACTGGAATAAAGGTGTTTCAATACATATTTTCTGGTAGAGCCAGGTCACTCTAGAAAAAGCAAGTTTATCACACCCCATATTCATTTTAAACAGTACAAGAAAGCAATTTTGTTTGTTTTTTCAAATTTATTTTAAGAGGCTGGTATTCAGACTTGCAGTTACACCATTGGGCTTCTGTGCCAAACTCCATGTTCTAGGACAGAAACAGTATCATTTACATGCACTCTCTATATACAGTATTTAATGTGGCATGGTTCTTCATTATAAGAAATCTAAGAAAGAAATAAAGTAACATAAATGTTCCTGCTTTAAGGAATCAGCAAGGGCCAAAGCACATAGACTTTCAATTTCAATTTAAAAAAAGTATGATGTCAGTAAAAATGCATATGCTGTACAGACAGGAATGAAAACCCCCAACATTCTAAAGGGTATTAAAAAGGCAACAAAATCTATTGTTTTTAATACAATGTTGTGCTTAATCCCTATCAGTATACTGTATAATTCAAAACGTTGCTACAGAATCCAAATAACACGGAGGATGTGACAATTTAAATTCAGTAAACTAGCAGATTTTTTCCCCATAAAATTACACATTATATTAACTTCATCTTATCTTTAAAAAACATGTGTATGATATATTTGAGAAGACAAGTCTACTCTGAAATTTAAGAAAAAAATCTCTCCTTAAAGAGATTTAATTATTTATTCCTTGATAAAGACCATCACTTCTTATAGTGTTATCTAACAGGCAAAGGGTTCAGAGCTGGCAGCTTGTTCAGCCTTTACAGGTTTGGAGGAGGTAAACATTCACATGAAGCAGGCAGGGGAAGCTTAAACAGTTGAAGAAAGTGATCAGTACTTATGAAATATATAAAGAGGGTTGAAGGTTAAAAGCTTTTACTTCATTGTTTACTATTAACAGTATATTTGCTACAAAACCTCTGATCTCTCTGGCCTATATGCATAAACACCATCTATTCTCATGACAAGATGAAATGCTGCACACATTTTTTTAGGTCCTCAGAAAATGTAAAATTCCTTTGAAGTAGGATGTTATGTTGTGGTTTTCAACTAGCAATATAAAAAGAGGAATGAGCCGATATAATAGCCTTAGAAAGAAAAATTGACACTTCATTTCTCTAATGCCCTTTTTCTCTAGTTCTGGCCCTAGAACATTCCCTATTACTTTTTTAAAAGTGATACATACTGTAGCATTTTGGATCACAAACACAAATGTAACTTTCTGAATTAAATGACCACCTGTTTTTAGGACTGAACACTTCAATGTTTTAAAATAGACTAAGTCAGTGAAGATAACCTTTGTGATTTATTCATTAGGAATTTTGTATTTATTGCCTATGAAATTACATGCCTTCAAAATTTGCATGCCTTCAATTTATATATACTGCTGGTCACAAATTCACAAAAATAAATCTAGTGGAAAAGGGGGGTGAATACAATACTATTTGTCCTTCTGTATTCTAATCCCTGATCATCTTTGCCTGAATAGATTACATTATATTCTGAAGAGAATAGACTTCGCGGATAAGTTGTCTTAAACACGGTATAACGGCAGGCCAATGAACCTACCTTTTCGTAGAAAAATACATTTACCAATAATCTTTAAATAAAAGCAAATTGATATTGATATTTTCTTTGACATATAATAACTTTTCTTTTTGGTGTGCTGGTAGTAAGGAAACATGTTCAATCTCAGAAACAAATATACTGTAAATATTTTCTGAACTTTCCTTTATTTGCTGGACATTACAAACACACATGGTTTCTGAAATTACCAGTACACTTAATTTGATTTTCTAGCACACTGGATTCCTGTCGCTGTTCAGACGGACATACAGCAGTTTGTTTTTTATATATATAAACATGGGTCTTGCAGAGATTATATTTTGAAACCACTACACCCTCATGGCTAATCAGGCCTTCAAAGTGACTCAAAGTCCTGAACATCACATTTCAGTAAATAAGTCGGATTGACTTTTAAAAGCTGGCCTGACATCAGAATAGTCAAACATGTACTTCAAAGAATCTCCTGTTGCAGCCTTTCTCTATTCTCTGGGTGCCAGGTGGCATGGGCTTGATGCCTGGCCTTCCATTTTGGGGAAGTAGTCTGTGCTTGCTGAGTGGTTGAGCTAGTAGAAAACAGCAAGCCCAGAGGTGGACAATTAAATTAAATTCAGTTGCATCGCAGACAGTGAACAAAACACAGAAGGTGCACTTGCACACATTTTACAGGCAAGCTGTGGTATCTAATGATTTCAGAAACATTTCATTACATTATTTGACTGTTTCAGCCAGTAACTCCTAAACATATTTGAACTATTGGCAATTACAGTACTTTCCCATTGTTCATGTGTTTATTGGATACTTTTCAAAGTACTTTGTTACATTCATTAGTTCATTTGTTATCAGAAATGTTGTAATGACCAACTATATGAATGATGCTACAAATCCCATCTGCTACGTATGAATGGATGGTAACTGAAAAGGAAAAAAGTGCTATTAACTTACACAGCAAAACTGCTTTGACAATCAATCAGAATTGTGATAGTTTTTTTGGGATGTACTTCCATCTAGTTTTTCACATATTATACTGTTTGAGTAACTGTTATTAAATAACAGAATAAAAAAAATATTGTAGGCATACTATTAGTCATCACAAGGTGATGGTGTAAAGAAAGAGTTTTTGCTGACTAAACTGACGCATTGCTTATTTGCCTTCAAAGTAGACACTGGAAGTTAAAAAAGCCCACCCACTGATTTAACTGTCTGAGTGCTTTCTAGAGACTCACAGAAGAAACACTGGTTAGCTGTTGTCGGAGACAATTCAGTCTCTATACAGGTTTCTGCCTGTCAATGAAGCTGGTTAGTGAAACATGTCAAAAAGGTTATCACCTTATACAAGATCACAGCATAACGCAAGATAACTTGTGAACTTCCAACTTTGGAAACTGATGAGAATTTTCATTTAAGCTCAGAAAACAATGTTAACAGAATGACCTAGAATGGGGCACGCCATATAATTATCACTTCCAACGATGGCAGATAAAACTGGAAAACAATGTGAATTTCAATAAAATTTGTTTTACCATACACTATTTTAATGTTCTCTTAGTTCTGTGACATTATGCCACAGAATATCTCACGTAATGTGACATAACGTTCTGATCTCCAGCATAATGTGTATTTCTGTATGGTTGTGTAACTAAAAATGACAAAAGGCCTGATTTCGCATTTTGCCTATAATGCTTTATAAATCTATTTAATATGTATTTTATAGAGAGCTAGATTTTCTATAGAATTTTACACTTCTTATGAAGAAGGAACACTGTCAGGGGCCGCCGTATATGAATCTTACACAACATCCACACATCCAGTGAATCCAAAACTAAGTCTAGTTAAAAGTCTGTCTAGTAGCGATCCACTGGTAATAGCTAACTGCATACAAAGTAGGTTGCCCTCTAACAGTCTTAAACAGGCATCTTTCAAGCTACCAGGTATGTCTTTCCTACAGCTTTTGTGCAAAAAAACATTCTGTACTGCTATAATAGTTTAGGAAATAACTTTTTTTTATCACATCCCATAAAATACTTCTGATGATGACATCTTTTAAGAGTATGCAAAATAATTAGTAAGCCAGTCATATATGAGTGTGGGAAATTGTTTACTGCTTATAAACTATTATTCCATTTGAACAGATACGCGTAAAATCATTTTAACATCTTAAACAAGA